ATGCCAATTCCAACTCCGTCGTCGTCGTCGCAGTCACCCTGTCCTTCATCTAGGTCACCCTGTTTTTCAACGTCATCCTCCAGCTCTTCTACGTGATCTTCCGGTCCTTCGTTAGTAGTAATTGGTAGGTCAACCTTGTCAAAACAAAGGTTCTTCTGCCAGCTCTTGAGGCACTCGATATAGCCAAGATTATCAGCAGAGAGGCTTGCTCGGTCCCACGACAGTGTCCTTCTACAGCCACTGAACACCCTCTCTGACTCAGCAGACATTGGATTGATTGAGAGGATATCAATAGCCATCTGAGAGAGGTTTGGATAGTTGTGTTGCTGCGTTGGCTCAAGCCACCACTGTATAGCATCATCAACGAGTACTGGAGGACTCTTGGTAAACTGGACAAACTCCTCAGGTATGGTAACTGAGTTTGCAAACCGTATAGAAGCCTGCCACTTGGCCAGCTGATTCGACTCTTCTTCATTTGACAATGGTGCTATTGCAATAGGCTTGGTCTTGTTCTTGTATTTAGCAGTCCATAAAGCGCGTACAGCAGTAATAGCTGGTGTTCGCCATGACGGAGACCAGTGTTGTTTAATATAGTTCTCGCGATAAGTTGGATGGAGGAGGAGCGCTGCTGCATAGGCAGGAGTATAGTTGTTGATAGCTTGCCACTTATCAAGTGCAAATTGGCTAGTTCGGATTGCGGCAATAAGGGCTTGGTCGGTAGAAGCATCTTGTTGTGTGTACTTTTCATAGTGCTTGCGTAAGAAGTCCATTGATATAAGCACTTGATCAAGAGTTGCGTTATCGCCTTCACATAGCTTTGTTACCTCCTGCAATGGTTCCATAAAGTCAACAAGCGCTTCAAGGAACTGCCAGTGGCGCCGCTGAAGAGTAGTGTGCTCCATATGCTCGTTAGCCGACTGAATAGCACGTATAGTTGCTCGAGACTGAATCCCTCGCTTGATCATGGCTAGCCAGCTATTCCACCTTGTGGTATTGTTAAGCATAGGAGATACACCAGCAGCTGCCTTGAACTCACGACGACGGCGAGCTGACCTCATGATCCACTCGAAAAACTGACGGAGGTAGTCGAGAGCTTCATGATCAGTAAGGCCAGTGCCTTGAGCGAGCGTTGAGATAGCTTTTTGAGGGATCTTGACTCTGATCAATTACAGCAGCTATGGTGTCTGTTGAGCTCGCTGACATAAGTGCTTGACTAGCAAGATTGATCTGGTGTCCAAAGCAGCGAGTTCGATGTTGTATAGGGTCCCAATCGATAGACAGACGCTCGCTAAATAGAGTAGCAAGGTGGCTCATCATAGTATCGTTGCAAGTGGCATTATCAGAGGTGATATATCCGATCTTCTGCTCGATGCCATAGGTAACAATGGTATCAAAGAATAGAGGAGCACATTGAGCACCAGCATGGCCAGCTGATAGCTTGTGAAGAGCTAGCAGTGCCTTGCTCAATTTGCCGTCTGAGTCGACAAATCGAGCTGTGATACTAAGCAGCTCATGGCTACCATAATTGGCTGTCCAAGCATCGCAGGTAAAGTGGATCAATGATCGAGATGTTGCAAGCAGTGCCTTGAGCTGCTCTTGATAGAAGTCGTGCTCCTTCTTGACGTGTTTGGCGACAGTAGAATGACTCTTGATCAAGAGCTTTGAGGCGCCAGGAAGCACCTCATCAAGTAGCGCATGGAGTAGAGGATTGCTAGCAGTACGGAAGGGGATGTTGCTTGAGGTAATGTAATCGATAAGACGTCGATTCAAGCGAGTTTTGTCGATATCGGCAATAGTATATGATGTCTGAGAGGGTATTGCTACTGCTAGCATCTTTGAAAGTGTACCAGTTGCATGTCTCCAGCCATGTCTCTTTTTAAGGTGTGATCTAATGTTGTCGTAGTTGGTGGTGTTGTAGTTGCGAGGACAGTCTCTATTGCCATAGAAGCAGTACCGGATCTTCTTCTTGCGCTCACGCTCGCGCTCTCCAGGACGACGAGCTCTAGCATGAGACCAGAGCTCTTCAGAATCGCCACGGGTAGGAGCTGGTTTTCGAGAGCGCTGTGTTGACGTACATTCAGAGTCATCAATGTGGTTGCTAGCGGTCGTTGGCGTCAGTCGTCGTCGCTTTGAAGGAGGAAACAATGGCTGGTCAACATCAGAGGCGCTATCGTCAGTCTCAGAGTTGTTGCCTTCAACAAAGATACTGTCTGATTGACTCTGAGGAGCGAAGAGTCTAGGCCTTGGAGTATTAGAGGCGAATTTGAAGAGGGTACTCTGTTTAGAGGCGTATAGCGGCTGGCTCTGAGATAATCGAGAGTTTAGTTGGCTTTGTGGCTCTTGTAACTTGTGCTCTTGATTAGCTGGTGAATACATGATACAAGAATTGTAATTGAAGGTAGATCATGTGCTCATCAAGATAGAAAGATAACAAAGAGCTGAGCTCTAATATTGAGCAAGAAGGTGGAGGATAGGATGGTTGATGAATTGAGAGGGAGCAGTTGAGACGCGTCGAAAAGGACGCGCGAGGCTTCGCGCGAGCTAAGGAAGAATTGGCCAGTCGGAGCTTGCGATCTAATCTCCAAGATAAGATCTAGCCTATCAGAGAGCTCAGATCGGTTACTAATCAGAAAAGGCGTCATAGCAAGTTTTTTGAACGCGACTGCTATGCCCAAGCGTAGCACACTCTAAGCTGAGGCTTACTATCATCAACCATAGCAACACTAGCTATACCAAGTGGTGGAATGGTAGAATATTCCACTCAAATTGACGATTCTATTCCATGCCAACTAGGTGGAATATTCTACCTCAAATCAGTGGAATATTCCAATATTCCACTTATTCCATGCCATTTAACGTCCCCACTGCTTCTGTTGATGTAGGGCTCACTTGATCGTTCTCTACAGATTCCTCATGTGGAGGATCAATGGTAGCAGGTACATCATTATGTGGCATCATAGGCTCGTCGGAAGACGGAACTACGACGATAATGGTCCCCTGTGTAATATCCACGTCTGGCTCGAGGATCGTGAGTCCATCAAGTTGTTCAGTAATGTCTTCATTTTCGACTTCTACTATGCCTCTTGTTGTGGAACTTATATCCGAGATGGGCTAGCTCTGCGTGCCATCATGTTGTGTGTTTGACGGACTTGCTGATGCGGTGTTCCGTGTTCTACGTGGGTGCCGAGACCTTGTAGGAGCATACTGAACGGGGTTTGCTGTACTCTAAGATACGGATGGGCTTGCGGAGGGTTTGTGCTGGGATCGAGTCGAGTGATGCGATTTTGCTGGACTTGCTGATGCAGTATTTCTTGCTCTTGCCGTTGCCTGTCGGGTAGTGGGTCCCTAGTTAAGCAATCGAGGATCTACTAGAATCGGTCCTTCTAGAGTAAGGACTGTAGGCAGGGGGTTTGGCTATGAGTTTGAGCTAGACGGTAGTGGAGCAACGCTTGGTTGTGCAGTTGGTATAGGCTGAGATGTAGCAGTAGCTCGGATTGTCGAATTTCTCTGTCTTCTCTCTTTAGCCTTCTGTTTTTGTCTTTCTGCCGCAGCAGCCCTATCTTCCTGTCTAAGTGCAGGTCTTCTCATGTCTCTGGTGTTTTGAGGCAGGTTTATGCTGAGAGAAGTCGGAAGTACAAACATAATCTATGTGAACAGAGTGAAGCTTGGCACAACATTTATGTGTTTTTATTGGATTACTGTGAAAATCAACAGTTTTACAAGGGTTTGATATAAAACTACCTAGGTCATTTATACTCTTAGCTAATAAAATATGCAGCAGGTCGACATATGAACAATTATCGAATTTGGGATGGTTATTTGACAATCAATAGAAGGTGAGGTGGACACCCTGCTCAAGTTGTGCCAAGCTTAGAAGGCTGATTAGGGCACGGATGGGTAGCCGATGGGTGAATACCAAAATAGTGTGGGGTCATGGCATATTGATGTAGAGCCACAGGTGCTGGTGAATATTTCATGGCAGGCACTTCCTAATTGATGACTTGGGCAAAGAGGTGGCCTTCAGAGATACCATCACGGGAGTAAACCACCGTAGCGGGAGGCTTACCCTAACCGACCTTGTTCGTCAAGCGGTTTCTGGTAATTGACATGATGTGCTTCTCGATGTTCTCGTTGGTGATCATCTCGACACGGTAACCGTTGGTCTCGACAGCAGCAGCGTATCGAGTAGCTTGCATTCGTCAAGATGGGTGTTAAAGCCATGTAAACTCCCTTTGGATCAGGAGCGGATATGGCGACAGCATCCGTGATATTATATATGGGTAAATGCTCGGATAGACGTTGAGAGTCGTGCAGTTGATAGCTGCGGTGTCGCAACCTGACGTCCAGTTATGGCTTAGAGCAAATGTTGCCGGTACTGCTAGACAGGCAATCAAGGGTGTGCATTGGCGACAGCGACCTTGATGTTATATATAGGCAGGTGTTGAGATGCGCATTCGAAGCAGTAGAGTTTTGCACAGTCGCGTTGCAGCTGTAGCGGTACACTCTAGTTTGTAGCCTCTTCTTGTCGGTAGCGTTTGGTAATTCTGCAAGGGGAGTCGTTTGATGCGAAGCTAATGGCGATGACAGGGCTTGTATGGCGACGCATGGTGCGTAGGGGCGATAGCTGACAGGGCGACGAAGACGGTGGCATTTTGTGGTGGACTCAGGAATCCGTGGTGTAAATGGATGTAGGGAGCGATGTTTTTGCAACCAGATGCATTAGGACAGAATGCCCGATGTTCTGCAGTGAATATATATAGACAATATGGAAAGAGTGACGGTTGATTATTGGAAGGAATAGCAATTGATATATGGAAGACAGTAGGCTAGATACCTGTTTGACATCTGTTTGTAATCCGTTTGTTGCCTTGGTATGCAGGGCTGGGAGACAAAGCTTTACTGTCTTGGCATCAATTCTGGATCATGGAGATAGGAAAAGGTAACAAATATGCTATGATTGGTATAAAACTACCTAAGCAATTTAAGACAATGGACAAAGTAGGTAAAAACAAGCAAGACATTGGTACAAAACTACCTAGGTTGTTTTACACGGTACTGGCTGTCTCTGCTCACGACATATGCCGCTCAATAGCGGAGTGGAAGGCGCAAATCTGGAGAAGTCGCTATCCTTACTCATCAAACACCACTTCTACATCAATCATATACAACTGAACTACTGATCTGATGTAGCAACCATAACCATCTATGCTCTCAGACTACTCTCTATTTAGCAGGGGCTTTGCCAGTTCCGTTCTTCTTACGGGTTGCGAGGTTGTGTGCCTGCATGGCGGATTCAAGCAAGATGGTACTCTGACCTTCCACCCAGCATCCCATGATGTTCTTGAGCAGTCTGGACAAGGTAGTCTCTACGCGACGCCATTGGTGCTGGTCGCAATATCCGGCAGCTTGCTGCAAGACCTGCTTGTCGTAATTGTCAAGTTGGTAATCGTCGCGCTGAAAGTTATCGGCGATTGCCTCGAGGAGCTGGATGATGTAGACTAGGTTGGCGTCATGCTCAGATTCGTGCCTAGAGTTAAAAGGCTCGAACTTGGTGCCGTGCTCAAGAGCATCTATGCGTGCGTAGATGCCAGTGATCAGATCGACTGTTCTATGTGAAGGACGGTGCTTGACTGCTTCGAGCAGCGGAAGGAAAGCCTTGGCACGTAGCTCGAAACGAGGATCGGGCGGGTCGTCATGGTCAGCGTACAAGAATGTAGAGAACTCGTCTCTGGTGCTTTCGGGAGTAGGTGGACGGGCAGGATCGAGGTATGCCTCTCCATCGGGACCGGTGTAAATGGGTTGTTCTGGAGTTCCCTTGCGAATCGCCATCTCTTTTGAATCGACTTGTGAGATCTTAGGATCAATGTTATTCACGATGCGGATGATATGCTTAAGGTTGGACTGGTATTCGTCGAGTGTGTTAAGGAGCGGGGGGAGTTCATCTTTGGCGAAAGTGAGGACTGTCCCGAGGGAGATAAGGTCGCGTGGGCCATTTGGATCATTGGTTGCGGCAGTGGTGTGGTTACTACGGGTTCTCTCAGGGGCGGAGGGTGTGGTGTGTTCTGGATGTGCGCGCTTTGGTGGTGGTTTGCGAGGGGTGTCTGCCATGTTGTTGGGATTATATCTGGAGAAAAGGATGTATGGTGCTTTGTTGAGCAAGGAGGATAGAGGAGGGTAGGAAGAAGAGCGCGTGGTATAAGAATAAATAGTTGCTGATCGGAGTAGGGTTGTAGGCTGAGTGAATGGCAAGGTTAGTAGCTGTAAGGAGGTAAGTAATAAAGTAATCCTTGTTGATTTTAAATGAGCAGCTGCAGGGAAGTAAGCGATAGGGTAGATACTTTGGGGGTTGAAATAAAGGTGTTCCAATGATTGGCGATAAAGTGGAAACAACCAAAGCAGGCCGACGGTCTTTAGCCAATGTTATGGCTTGAGGAATGCATAAAGAAAGAGGCATGCAGTATGGATGTTTACATGGTAGCAGAGAGGGGTTTGTATAGGTTGCGGCGCCGGTAGTAGAAGTTTGTAGGATATCTACAACAATATGTAATTACCGGTGCATGGTATAAGGTATGTGTGTGTAACAGCTTAGAGATGTTCCGGGCGCGTAGTTGACAGTAGCATAGAACTATTAAAGATAGTAAGTAATTAGGAGGCTGGAAATGCCAATTACATAGAGTATATAGCATAGGCAGCTTTTAGTGTTTGGTTTCAAATCTGCTTGTAGTGGTAGCATGGTGTTTACCTGGTTTGGTACAAGAAAGAGCCAGGAAAAGACGGGAGGCATAGCACTGGCTGCCAAGCCTTAGTCAGTAAGATTAAAAGCAGCGAAAGTAGTAGAACTATTTCTCTATGCGGCAATGACTGAAAGCAGCAAAAGTAGTAGAACTATTTCTCTGTGCGGCAATGACGAAACTACTAAGGTAGATATCTTATGTTAAAACATTACCTAAGTAATTTTCTAGGAACTGAACATCAACAAGCTACAAAACTACCTAAGGAGTTTTGTATAAGCATTGATACTGGTCCTATACTAAGTATAATTATAAGTATAGGTGCCCTTTAAGGACATGGGACGCCAGCCAATCAGCGCACGAATAAAACCGAACATGCGCTACTTCCCCAGACATGTAAGCTTAACCCTTAAACCTAGGCAGCTAATAACTTCCTTCTCCGCAAAGTTGTACGATTGCGATAAATCCTTGGGCAACAACGATTCGAACATTTTGGATTTTACTCTCCTCCTCAGGGGCCTCATCTAGCCGGCCACCAATTCCTCCATTCAACGATGCTATCAACGAGTACTTTATTCAGTTCGTTCCATCTGAGTTTAAGGCGTTGTTACTTGACTACGTGGTCTCTGAGAACCACGCTTTCACTACACTTGAATCTCCACGACTACAGAAGATTCTAACATATCTAAACCCTGCTTGTGAGAAGCGAGGGTGCCTTCCAACTCACGTAACAATTGCTTCCTGGATTGAAGTTGCGTATGACGCAAATGTTGGCTTAATTAAAGAGCTTCTCAACACATCTCAGAGCAAGATCCACATCTCATTTGACCTTTGGACTTCAAGAGCAATGCAGGCTTTCTGCGCTATGACTGCACACTTTTATGATGCTAGAGGAGAATTTAGGACGCTCCTTCTTGGCCTCCCTCATCAAACTGGCCGTCATACAGGTGTTAACATTGCACCAACAACACTTTGAGCGCCGGATTCGATGTATTAGTCACGTTATTAACCTTGTTGCTCGATCTCTACTTTTTGGCAAAGAACCAGAAGCTCTTGAGGAGAAGCTTACTCAGTCTAATGACATTGAACTCTAGCGGAAGCGTAGTCCCCTTGGCAAGATCCATAACATTGTCACATGGATTCGTGCCTCACCTCAACAACGTGAGCAACTCCGGAACTACCAAGTCCACCACCCCCATATCAATGAGGCATCTAGTGAAGAGAAGCCAAATACACTTGAGCTTATAGCAGATAACAACACACAATGGAACTCCTTCCCTTATATGCTTCGAAGAGCAATACAACAGAAGGATTCGATCGCAGACCTTATCGAAGAAGAGCATAGCAAATAGGATGGTATTATTGCTAAGAATCGTCGCTCTGCCTAACCTCTGGATACTTCTAAGAAGCCTCCAGTATCAGATGATACGCTTACTAGTGAGGACTGGCAAATGCTTAACAACTACCTTGAGTTCTTGCAACCACTAGAAGAGGCTACTATGATCCTTCAAGGCCATGGCAAGCGTGGCAGCTATAGTCTTATCTAGCAGGTGATCCCTTTAATGGAGGGGTTACTAAAGCACTTTAAGCAACTCAAAGGTCAGCATGCTGTAACCCCTCCAGAGTCTCAATTCACCATTGAACACTTATATACGCAGACTCAAACTCAGGACTCTTCTAACCACAACATCCCTTCTACAACATCAACGCGCCAATCACGACGAACACGGCCTTCTCAACAAGAGACTCAAATACCTCCCCCCCTCCTCCTCCACTTCCTACCCCTATAAAGGAAGCCTTACCAGCAGTCAATGACCTCTTCTATGCTAAGATCAATCATGGATGGATGAAACTCAACAAATACTATGAGCTTACAGACCGCTCTGCTGCATATGTTGCTGCCCTTGTCTTCCATACTGCGTATACCTGGAGTTATCTTGAGGGTATCTGGAGGTTCAAACCAGCCTGGATATCTAGCGCAAAGACAAGGGTTTCGAAGCTTTGAAAAGACTATTCGGATAGACAACTTCCGGCTCGATTTGAACACGTAGAGCAAACCCCCAACAAGCGTCATAAGTCTTCACTTTTTGACCTTGAGGATGATATTGTTGGGTCTCTTGATGATGAATACCAACAGTGGTGTCAACGTTCTCGAAACCGCTTTGCCCTTGAGACCCCTCCTTTGGAGTTCTAGACTGGCTATGCCATTAAGAAAACATTCCCGCGGCTTCAAAAGATGGCACTTAATGTTTTTACTATCCCTGTGATGTCAGATGAACCAGAAAGAGTGTTCAGCTCTACAGGATTGATGGTGAGACCACATCGATCACGGCTATCACAGAAGGTTATCGCAATGAGTCAATGCTTGAGAAACTGGTCACGACAAGACCTTGTAACCTTCCAGATCTTTGAGACGATGAAGGAGAGATTACAACACGTAGAGACTATGCATAATGATGTCTAGGTCACTCACCTGAATCACTGTTGCCCTCCTGAGCCACCACCACTACTATAAATGTACGCCGAAGACTGTGGCTTCGCCGCATTCTGCGATTCTGAGGCTGCCAACGAGGAATTTGAGTCGAAAACAGATGCTGCCCTCTTCAATGCGTGGACTGCTACCGGCTGTGGAGACACGATCGGATTCAGATGGAGACTGCAGAATTTTGACTGGCCCGACTGTCCTACGCTTGTACAGCGTCGACGCTCTGAGACCGCCAACAAACCCCCAGAACCTGTTCAAAATGACCCTGAACCCGGACGAGTCAGATTTGTGGCAATACCCAACGAGACACAGGATATTTATACAACGTCTGAGCTTGAAGCAAGATTCGACGTACTGCGACAAAACTTCATCAGCGTCCGTGAACACCTGTCCAAGAGGCAGCGGACAGGGGCAGACACGCAGACTGATGGTGGCGCACTTCGCGATGGCATCCTAAGGAAATTTTTTTCTGGTCATAGAACAACAGTGCGTTGCATCTCTCATGTCTGAAACGGCAAATGTCGACGACGCATGGGTGTACGCAGTGGATCCGGATTATGTACAGCCCACAGATATGGCCGCCGATGAGACTTCATCGACTGAGTACAGAGGCTACATGCGTGTACGACTACAGCAGTTGGTGAACAACTTCTTCGCTGTGGGGTATTCCGATGGAAAGTTCGGCTGAAGTAACTGCTCTGAATATCTCAGACGCGACTCTATACTGGATTTGACTGTGGTTATGTTTATTCACAAGAGGATTTGACGTGGGCAGTGGACCAAAAGGTATAATGGGTTGGGTGGGCTCAGGAAGATTAGTGACAAGATGAAGAGGCCTGGGCGTAGCTCAACAAGACCGATAGGATTACCTACGGACAATTGATCTCATCTGCCTGAAGAAGGATATAGATACCTAAAATGCATCATCTGCTGTCGGCATCTTGAGCCATGATCACAACCCAAAGAAGCTAGTAGGACTCTACAAACCTTACCGTACTTTCCCTATCTGGGATAACCTTCACCTCATCCTCGATGACTCCTGTAACCCAACGCACCATCCCCTTTCGTCTCAACGCGCCTTCAACTCCGAGTGGATCTATTTGGCATGTCCATATCAGGTTGCGAGAGCTCGTCGCATCCTTCATGCGAGCGTTCGATTACCGAATCCCTGTCTGCAGCTTTCGGAAAACAGTATTGCTCTTATAGCGAGTCGATTTTTACGACTTCATTACTCCTTGTCGTTTCGTCTGTGCTGGAGAAGGGTCAAAGGTAGCGTGAAATTTGTCTGCCAACCCTCACGCCTGACCGTTGCTGCCCTGACTCCACATATCTCCAATACGAATCACCACAGAAGGCCGGAAGGATCGTCACTGACCAGTGCCCCCGTCGGTACCGATGATCGTGAAGTCGCCTTCTTCTGTTTCATGCTTCTCGGGCTCAGCTCTACCTCCTACGGCAGGGGCACGCTGCAGTGACTTCGCTCTCAGCTTTTCTCGTTCTTGACTTGGCTTTGACTTCTCCATATCCTCCTTGGAACGCTGTTACATTTACTTCTATATCTTCGAATAATGATTGTCTGGATGTAGAAGGATTGATTCTGTGATGAGCTTCCAATGAACGACGAAGGATAACTCGAGCGGCATCTAATGCACAACGCACGATTCCATATTCTGACTGGTCAATCTCACTGCTGACCAGCGGGGTAGAAGTATCAGGCTGCAACATTGCTGCCTGGGACCTTACATGATAAATCATGGCAGTGCTGCTCTCGACTAAGGTACTGATTTGCAAATACCATTCGACATCTCTGCTGACACTCGCAGAAGAATACCACTGCAACCTCTTCGTCTCTGGGCTCACTGGGAAGGACCAAACCCGTGGTAAAGATCCATGCCGTCCCTGCATCGCAACTTATAAGATCAGCTGACATGCTTTGCGAGAACAGGAAAGTCCACATGATACTCGACGCACTCGACATTCCACTCGAGTTTAACGAGACCAAAGAGCCGCAATATCTCGAGCTCAACCCCAATAGTCGTCTTCCCGCCATTGAAGATCCGAATACAAACATCACTGTCTGGGAGGTAAGTATGCTGTAGCACGCACGAGTTGTTCTTATACATCCGATATAGTTGTGTGGTAGTCAGGAGCTATAATCCTATATCTCATCGAGCAGTACGACAAGCAAGAAAAACTCTCTTACTCCCGTACACCTGAGCAATATGCATTGATTAAATGGTTGACAGTCCAAGTGTCGGGTATGAAATGGCACTCTTGAATCTTGATACTGGTATACTGATCCCTCGAGTAGGACAAGGTCCATACTTCGGGCAAGCAACATGGTTCACCAGATTCCACCCGGAGAAACTCCTCTCCGCCATCGATCGCTATGTCATCGAGATCTTCCTTGTAATTGGCGTCCTCGACAATGCTTTGCAACGCAACGCGACTGGATGATTGGTCGGCGATGTATGCACTTGTGCTGATATATCCTTCGTCACCTGAGCCGTCACAGGAGAAGGTCTGCTGCGTGAACTCCAGAAAGGTGTAGGGTTGGTTGAGAAGTATCTGCATTATACTGCTTGGCTAGAAGCACTCAAGGTACGACCAAAGATAAAGGCAGCGCTGGACAAGATTGTGGCGCAGAGGAAAGCGCATGGTCTTCCTTGATAGAGTCGCCAGAAGATCTCTGTAATCTATGAACACTTTATTGTTCTAGAGCTATATTTAGGCCGCACAGCAGAACATATAGTCCTTCCAGATTTGTCACTTCTACGTTTTTGGTCTTCGCAATCCGGATTGTGTTACCCAAGATAGCCTCAATCTCCAAAGGGCGCTTCCTCCGTACATCCGCGGACATACTAGGCTCATGACCAAACTTAGAGGACTGTTTGGCTATGGCATCAAGTCTCTCTTCAGCTGCCGCCTGAGTGACTGAGAAATATCCAAGGCCATGTGCAACATTGATGACTTCGCTCATCAAACGTCGAATGTACTCCATGGCCTCGGGACATGACTGCAGAACGGATGCGTCGTCTAGACGGGTTAAAGCACAGACAGGGTTCCAAGATGCATTGACCAGCAGTTTGGTCCAGCGCCTAGGCTGGATGTCCTGAAACAAAGTCGCTTTACCTCCGCCCTTCGATATCAGATTGCGAAAATCCGTCACTGCTACGGGCGGTTGCTGCTTCGTATTGTGGGGATCATGAGACCTGAATATTCCCAATTCCAAAAGCTGCGATAATCCCATCGTGACAATCGCTGATGAATGCTGCGTTGCGTGCAGATTCACCACGCAGGAAATGATCAGATTCGAAGGGTACATCATTTCGTACTCGTCTTCGATTCCGATCCCGTTCTGGAGAATCACAATGGATGTATGGCCTAATTTGATCGCAGGTCGGAGAAGAGCCGCAGTGCTCGGGGATGTTCCAGGAAAGGCTTTCGCAGTGACCAGAACGTAATCAAAGCTCATTCCTTCAACCTCTTTGACCCGGCGTACAACGCGTGGGTGGAGGCGAATATGGTTGCCAAATAGGGCGGAGTGCAAAGTAAAGCCATTCTGCTTCGCCGCGGAGTAGTTTGACCGGCAAACTCCAGTCACTTCACACCCAGCTTGCATTAACATGTGGAGATAACAAGTGCCAACCGCACCGACTCCAAATATGAGAATTTTCGGCCCTTGAGCATGTGCATTCTGCTTAATTGGGTTCGATTGCATCATGTCCGAGTTAGTTTCCAGAGTGGGAAAGTGTGATACGCGGCCCAAGGGTTGTTGGTTCGTTCGGATCAAGAGCAATTCCAGTGCTGAAGAGGAAAGTCTTTGAGCAGCGTCAGTCCTCGTTTCAGTTTGTTGTTCGATAAGAGGGGAAGGCGATATAAATATAGAGCAATTGAAAGTACGTGCAGAGGAGCCGACCGTCGCAAAAAGCGCTATTCCATGCGGGTCTCTAGCGCTCAAGGCAGTTGAGTCGGGTTTATATATTCTATACGTCATTGAAAAGACCCTTCTAGACATCGGAATGACCGGATACGCTTAGATTTGGCGTTATGCTTGGCGCGTCAATCTATCGGCATAGCCGGGATAGTCACTTAAGAGTTTTGTTCTTTTTGTTTTGAAGGTTATAATAATACAACTCTTTACGCTTCGCTATTTCAAAATGAATTCATCAAGTTAACAATACTCCATTTCTATGCTTAACTCCGACCCGTTATTGCTTCTAGAGCAAGATATGCAAGATATGCAAGATACAAAATCATTACTTATGCCCTCTAACTTCTAGATCCATTAACTTCCTAGACATTGATGTTACGATCCGCCGTTGGATGGCTAGGTCGTCACCAGCCAAGAGCGTGAGCCAGGCAGCCGCCTGTAGATCCTCACCCACTTGACAGGTAAGCAGACAGGATGACCCTGTCAGCTCACCAACTTGGCAAGTAAGCTGCGATGCAGATCATCACTCCCTCAAGAACATGAGGAGATCGAACTTCTGAAATTTTGATTGAAATATCCAATTATTATTGTACTACGAGCTGGAGCAGTGTCTCCTGGTGATTATGGTGAACTTGCAGCGAAGCGCCACGGTGCAGGGTCGAGATGCCAGCTCCGAGAGGCCGAGGGGGAGTGAGAGGTGGTGGTATAGCAAGAGAAGGGAGAAACGATGGGACAACACAGGGAGGCGCTAAAACGCAGGAGGAAGGAGACCAATTCATGAGAGACAGGTATCATGCAGAAAAGAGAAAAAGAGAAGGACCACAAGGTGGAGCAGAGGGAAGCCCCCCGAGACGCGACAGCCGATCCAACCACGACTCCGACTCTGCATCGGCAGAGGATACGCCTAGAAAGAGACCCTCGCCTATGGCTACAAGAATGACGACTAGGAGCGCAGAAAGGGAAGGTAGGGACATCAGCCACCAGGCCGAGGGCAGCCCGACACCTAGCAGGGGCAGAAACAGCGACGCACCTAGAGAGGTCACGATGAACGATATCATGCGACAACTGCTAGCAGCGCAAAGAATGGCCAAAGAAAGAAAAGAGAAAGAACAAGAAAGAGAAAGAAAAACACAAGAAAAAGAAGACAGATACAGGGAGGAGATCAGACAATTGCAGACGACAGTCACGACGCTAGTCCTAGACATCAAGAGTCTACAGGAAGCAGCCCCAAATTGGGGCTCCCTCCAGTCATCATCTCTACAGACAGGAACGACTGATTCCTATGCGAGTACTGCAGCTCGTGGAGTGCAGCTGTCAAGCCAGGAAGCAGAGATAAAACCAGTCAGGTCTCCGAGGACATCGGTATCGTTCGATCTATCAGACCAGGCGAGACCTCCACAGTCACCCCCAATATCAGTAGGAACGTCGATTAGAAGTGCGATGAAGAAGACAAGAAACAAACAAGAAGCAGACATGGTACTAGACATAAAGTATCTCGAAACAGAAGGATACACCGGAACAAATCTGGTGACAAGAACCAAGAACCGAATCCTAGCTGCAATTAGGTCTAATGAAGGACTAGACCAAGTCGTCCTTAATCAGTTGATGACCAGACACACAAACAAGGACGTACACCTAGCATACTTCAAGATCGATAAGGAAGTGGAAAAAGTAGCGAGAGTACACGTAGATAAATGGCTACCTATGTTCCTTGAAGGGGCAAGACTCATCGAATCCACCTGGTACCCTATTAAGGTGGACTTCATTCCCAAGATAGAAGCCACAGATCACTAGACTGGAGCGATTAGCCAAGAGACACGAGAGGCCTTTGCAGAGGAGAACGAAGTAGAAGTTAAGCTGATGAGATGGCTAGGCAGACCAAAGGAGCACACCCCCTATGTATATGCAGTAGCTAAGCTAGCAACGAAAGAACAGGTAGAGAAACTGCTCCAGAAACAAGCAGACGGGGAAGAAGTGTACTTGTTTAGCTGCATGGTCAAAGTCTCACCTTTCCACGACAACAGAGGACCAAGGTCCTGCTACAACTGCCATCAATTTGGACACACACAGAAGGACTGCAAGAACACTGCCAGGTGCTCATAGTGTGCACAAGAAGGACACAACATTTGCAAGCTAGGCGAACCGAAGTGCTGTAGTTGTGGAGGGAATCATTCAGTAGGCTACAGGAAATGCCCGGAGTACAGAAAGCAACAAGGGAAATCAACCTACGTCTTCATGACTAGTACGCAAAACATTCTTCAAGCAAATCTGCACAGGAGCTTAGGAGTTCAGGATGCCTTATACAATGACCCGGGCATCTGGGACTTTGATGCCATTCTTATACAAGAACCACATTACTGGGAGATTGCAGGAAACCTGCATGTTACCGGAGCTGGTCCTAACTTTGAGGTCATAAAACCAAAAACACTACAAAGAGAAAACCAGACACAAAGGATCCGATCATGCATGTGGATAAACAGCAATACCAAATACACACAACTCACGATAAACAGCAACGATATTACAGCAGTCATTCTTCAACATGGAACCCGCAGCATACTAGTAGCGTCGCTGTTCATCCCGAGCATAGGCCACGGCAACGAGGCCGACGAGCAAGAGTTACATAGCCGGCTGCAAGAGGTTCAAGAAGCAATCACAAGAGAGCGCAATAACAACCTAGAGTTTGAAGTCTTTATTGCAGGGGACTTTAACGGACATGATACTGTATGGGGAGGGAATGAGATGGCCCTAGAGACGAGACAAGGAGAAGGTAGCAGGATACTAGACTTGATCGAGGAGAACAACCTACAGCTTCTCACCCAGAGAGGAGTGCCGACATAGGAGCGGAATGGGTCAGCCTCAACAATTCACCTGACTATGGCTAGCGAAAGACTGTTCGATGACCGAGATACCTGTCATGTGTTCGAGAACGAATATGGCTCAGACCATAGGGCGATCCATACAGTCATAGGCATGGGAGAGGCAGTAGAAGACCTAACAGCCGCACGCTACCTGTTGCAGAAGGCAGACTGGAAAGCAATACGAGACAGGATAGAGCGACACCTAGCCAACAACCCTTTCCCGACGGACGATCTCGAAGTAATGTAAGGCTACATCCAAGAAGTTACTCAGACGGCGATAGATCATCATTGCCCAAAGGCAAACCCATCAAAGTACGCGAAGGAATGGTGGACAAACGATCTGACGTCCTTAAGAAAAGTGTACACCAAGGCTCGCAACCTAGCAAGGTCAAGAAGGAGACAAGGCAGTCGAGACGACAGCCTTGAGATAGCAGCAAAGATAGCAAGACATCACTTTCATCACGCGATCAAGAAACGCAAGGAGGCGCACTGGACAGAATTCCTAGGAGACTCTGCGAATATTTGGAAGGCAGCCGAATACCTTGACCCTAACAAGAGATTAAGCTTCGGCAGGATTGCATCGATCGAAGGGCAAGAAGGGGAGGTCATTCAAGACAAAGCAAGGATTGTAAAGGAACTGTTACACAGCTTCTTTCCAGAACCACCCACCCCTTAGAGGCCAGAGCAGACAAGGGACAGTGCTGCAGAACAGGTCTTTAGCGAACAACTGACAATAGACGAGGTTAAGAAGGCACTATTCTCTGCAAGTCCGGATAAAGCAGCAGGAAGCGATGGTCTAACCATTAGAGTATGGAGAGAAGTCTGGCCAGTATTGCAACAGCAAATCCATGCACTCTTCACAACCTCTTTAAGACAAGGCAAACTACCATCACATTGGAAGGTAGCAAAGATTGTTCCACTTAAGAAGGGGAACAAGGACGACTACACTCTTTCAAAGAACTACCGACCAATATCCCTGCTAGCAACGCTAGGAAAGGTGATGGAAGCAGTAATAGCAACCCGGATATTATACCTCGCGGAGGTACATAAACTCCTGCCGAACAATCACTTCGGAGCAAGAAAGCAGAAGTCGACGGTGTTAGCCATTTCTTACCTTTAGGAAGCAATCTACGAGGCGTGGAGAGGCAAACAGACGCTATCACTAGTTTCGTTCGACGTCAAAGGAGCATACAACAACGTTGCAACAGGACCACTTCTAGAAAGGCTAAGGCAGAGGAGAATTCCGGAAATCATGGTCAAATGGATCCAAGACTTCTGCACTGACAGGAAGGCGAGTGTAGTGGTAAATGGCTTCACATCTGAGGTAAAGGACCTACCCCAGTCAGGACTACCACAAGGATCGCCGCTTGCCCCAATACTGTTCCTCTTCTTCAATGCAGATCTAGTACAGATGGCAATTAAAGAAGGTGCGTCCATGGCGTTTGTTGATGACTATACCGCGTGGGTAGTTAGCAACTCTGCCGAAAGGAACACAAGGATAATCCAGAGAGACATACTGCCGAAACTAGAAAGATGGGAAAGGGAGAGTGGTGCAGTGTTCGAAGCCTCGAAAACAGCATTCATCCACTTTACAAGATACAGTGGTCTGCTTAGAGACAACGACATGCCCCTATGCTACAAAGGAGACCAGATACAGCCAAGCCAGTCGACCAAAGTGCTAGGTGTGATCCTAGACCAGGGACTTTGATTCAAAGAACATCTAGCGGGAAAAGCAGAGAAAGCACTGAAAGCAGCACTCGCTCTGAAAAGACTGCAAGGTCTAAACCCATCAACCATGCGGCAGTTGTACACAGCAACAGTTGCACCAGTCATGGACTATGCGTCGCCGGTCTGGTACCTGGCAGTATCTAACAAAACGCTATCAGTTCTACACAGAGCCCAGAGAGTTGCAGCACAAGCCATCGT